GCCGAGCGCGGGATCGGCGTGGTGAAGCTGAGGGCCAGGGCAATGCTCCTCTCCTTCAGCGACCCCCTGGACCGGCAGGCCTTGTGGGCGTGCGCCGTGCAGCATTCTGCGTACTGCTCCAGGATGCACGCACAGGATCGACCAGTGAAGTGCCCGGCTTTCGGTGCGAAGGTCTGCGCTCGCATCGAGGATGCCCCTTCGTCCATGTGGGCAGAGCGGGCGCGCGACGCCGTGTTCCTGGGCGTGGGCGCGGAGAGCAAATGGTTGATCGGGCGGAAGGACCTCGCCGCGAAACGACCTGAGCAGCGGTGGGTCATTGAGTCCTCGTCGTCCTTCGCAGTGGTGCCTGAGGACTCCGGTGGTGCTCAAGACGTTCGCGGCGAGGATCCAGGAGCAGGAGGAGCTCAACCAAATGGCGTTGAAGAGGCGCCACCTGTTGAATCGACCAGCGCTGGATCTCCGGAAGGTGCACTTCATGTTGACCACGGTCTCGGAGGAGTCCTTGAAGGTGCTGATGCCCAGAGTTCCAAGAGCAGTGGCGACCCGAATGTGCCCCTGGAGCCCCCTCCACCCGCGGGATCATCGGACGACCATCTTCGACGACCTGCCCGCGCAGACGGTGACCGAGATGTGTTCGAGGTGGCGGTGCCGAAGGACATCGCTTGTCCTGCGTGCCGCGGCCTCCACCGCACGCACACGCGAGACGCGCGTTGCAGGCGCGGCCTCTCCTGGGCGACACCGGCGAGCAACCCTTCGATCGCGGAGCTCCCGGCGGAGGATTTTCTTGCCCTGCCTGCCGCGGCCGACATGTCAAGCACACCAGGGACCACAGGTGCAGGCTAGGATCAGGAGGAGACAAGCATCAACGAGCTGCACTCGCAGGTTTCGGTCATGATGATGTTCCTGATCCTCAGCCTTCCCCTCGCATGGTGGAATAGTTCGAATATATTCCTGTGGCTTTTGCCACCGCGGCCCCGGGGCAGGTCGCCCTCACCGCGGACGACGACAATGCGCCTCCCGAGTTCACCAAGATCGTGAAGGGCAGCGGGCTGAGCATCGTCACGTGCGCGGAGATCGCGAAGACGATCGGGATGACTAGGGAGAAGTGGCGAGCGGCACTCGAGAGCGAGCTCAACAGCCTGAAGGGCGGTTGTCTTCGCCCCCTCACGGCCTCGGAGGCGCACTCTGTAAAGCCTTCCGAGATACTGCCCATGAAGGTGGTTGCGGGGCAGAAGGCTCCAGACGCATCTGGCTGTCGGCGCTTCAAGGCGCGCGGCTGCGTGTGCGGCAATTTCGAGGCGGTGGGCCCCTCGGAGCAGACCTTCACGCAGAATTTTGACATTGCCAGCCTCCGCATGGCGCTCGCCGTGTGCGCGCACCGTCGTTGGAGCGTGTCGGCCCTCGACGTCTCTACCGCGTTTCTGAACGCGTTCCTCCCTGTGGACAAGAAACGAGTGGTCATTCGCCCACCGGCCATCTTCGTCAAGTTCGGGCTGGTGCCGGCGGGCGAGCTCTGGGTGGCCGAGAGGGCCATCTACGGGCTGAGGTGCTCACCGAAGGCTTGGGGCGATCTGCGCAACGCGGAGCTCCGCAAGCTGACGTTCACCGTCGGCGCGCTCCAGTGCCACCTCGAGCAGTCTGCGGTCGATAGCTCGGTCTGGCTCGTCAAGGCTAACGGGGTGGACGACGTCTTGGGCTATGCGCTGAGCTACGTGGGCGACTTCTTGTTCATGGGCTCCGAGGGCGCGGTGAGGACCCTGCAGACCTCCATCGGCGCGCTCTGGACTACGAGTTCCCAGAAGATCATCTCCCCGGACTGTCCGGGAACCATTCGGCACTTGTCCATCGACATCGGCATAAACCCCTACCGCCTGACGCTGAGCCAACGCGAATACGTCAACGACATGCTGATGAAGTGGAACATTGCCCAGTGCAACAGCTGCCAGTCGATCAACCCCGACGATGAGATCTACCTGCCCTTCCAGCCCGAGGACGACGAGGAGAAGCCTGACCCTGATGATGTGCGCGGTGCGCAACGGATGGCAGGTGGACTCCTTTGGCTTTCGAGCCGCACTCGGCCAGACCTGTCCTACAGCGTCTCGCGGATCTCCAGCCATGCGACTCGGAGGCCGCATGCGTCCCTCCTTCTGGGCAAGGTCTTGCGGTGCTTGGCGGCTACCCGCCAGTTGGCGCTGGTCTACGTGCTGAACACCCCCCACGAGCTGCAGGACCTCATCTGCCAGTTGGACGTCTTCTCGGATGCCAGCCATGGCGATGCGGGCGCGCAGACAGGCGTCACTTGTTTCATGCATGGGCGCATGCTGGTCGACTGGCGCAGCTTGAGGCAGCAGTTGGTCTGCTTCTCGACGGCCGAGGCGGAGATGAAGGGTCTCGCCCTCAGCTGCCAGCTGCTCTACGGTCTGGAGGCGGTCGCCCACCTCCATGGAGCTGCGACGACCGCAGTCCTCCCGCGACAACCAAGCGGCGAAACCACATCGGCTGATGGGTCGCGGCAGTTGGCGGAGGACGAAGAGGCCCATGACTATGGAAAACGCCATCCGGAGCCGAGGGGGGAGCGCGGCATGGTGAGCTGATTTACGTGGAGACGGCTCTGATGCGCGCCGACGGGCTCACCAAGAGCAAGGGGCCCGACCACATGGCGAAGGTCAGGGCCCACTTCTGAGCGCGCACAGCGCCAGAGCACCAGAGGGCCCGCAGCGCACAGCGCCAGACCACAGGCTTGTGGGGCATCTGAGCGCGCGCAGCGCAAGAGCACCAGAGGGCCCCCTACACCCCGATCGAGCTGCGGGGTATGTCCTCCGATGTTGGGTGCGATCGGGATTGTCAGAGGCCCTATGCACGTCCCACTGCACAGGACTCCGAAGGAGGAGCGTGTGTATGGGGGGCCCTCCAGCCATGTGAACCAGGCAGCGTAGCATCGGCATCAGCAGCATATGGGAGAGCATGCTACGCATGGAATGAATTTGAGGTCCAGCACGCGTAGTTACAAGTTCCCGTGGTGCTGCCCCTATGTCTGAACAAGAGAGCACGTGCGATGGAGCCGGTGACCTTTTTGGCCTGCGAGCCGACCAGGAAAAAAACACCGAAGCTAACGTGCTCCGGCGGGCCGTTTCCGGAGCACGTTGGAACGTGCTCCGGCGGAGCGTATGTGGAGCACGCTGGAGAGAGGAGGAGTGATGTAGTTGTGACGTGCGGTGCGTGAGGCATAATATATCACACTTTTGGAAGACCTTTATCCCACAAGGTAGGACAACGCATGTTGACCGTGGGCCGACTCTGGCCTTGGTTGCCACGATAGCTTGCACCGCCATGTGTCTCAAGATCTCTGGGGGCTTAGCGGCAACGCCGCCTCCAGGGATGGGTTGCACTGTATTTTGCACTCTAGGTCAGCAGCTTCAGGCCGACTTTCGCCGTAACGCTGCAATTTGGCTCAAGATGGACGAGGAGAAAAAAGGGAGTCGTCAAGGCGAGGAGCAAGCCTCAGCGGCAACGCAGGCTTGTGACTCGCCTATCGGTCTCCACTGAAACTCTACTCCGTCTCCACTTCGACCTACCCATCTCTCCTGAGCTGTCCCATACTCTACTACGGAAGCCGTCCGTCTTCTTCGGGAGTTGGCGGCTGGAACGCCGATTGACGAGTTGACATCAGAAGAGCTATAAACAGAAGGTTAGACGGAACCTCATTACAGACTCCCTGGACCTCATTCCCCTCAATATTGTCATCATGTTCCCACATGGCTTCCATAATGGTGCTGGTTGTAATGATTATTCTACTGCGTACTCCCTTGTCGGACCTGATGGCAGACTCTTGCTGGAAGGCGTAACTGCCCCCCCCTTCCCCCCCTCCCCCCAGCGCGCCCCCTGTGGCGTCGAGGAACTGCCACGCCTGCCACGCCCTGGGGGCCTGCAACGCATTGGGCCCCCACCCCTAGCGCACCCCCTGTGGCGTCGAGGAAATGCCGCGCCTGCCACGCCCTGGGGGCCTGCAACGCATGGGGCACCCACCCCCAGCGCACCCCCTGTGGAGTCGAGGGAATGCCACGCCTGCCACTCTCTGGGAGCCTGCAGCGCATAGGGCCCGCACCCCCAGCGCACCCCCTGTGGCGTCGAGGAAATGCCGCGCCTGCCACGCCCTGCGAGCCTGCAGCGCATGGGCCCCCAATCCCAGCGCACCCCCTGTGGCGTCGAGGGAATGCTGCGCCTGCCATGCCCTGGGGACCTGCAACCCATGGGGCCCCCACCCCCAGCGCACTCCCTGTGGCGTCAAGGAAATGCCGCGCCTGCCACACCCTGGGAGCCTGCAGCGCGTAGGGCCCCCACCCCCAGCGCACCCCCTGTGGCGTCGAGGAAATGCCACGCCTGCCACGCCCTGGTGGCCTGCAACGCATGAGGCCCCCACCCCCAACGCGCCCCCTGTGGCATCGAGGAAAATGCCGCGCCTTGCCGCGCCCTGGAAGCCTGCAGCGCACAGGGCCCCACCCCCCACGCACCCAACCCCCCTTTGTGGCGTCCCCTCGCCGCCGATTCATGCTAACGCCAGCCGCGCCCTGGAGCCTGCAGCGCTTAGGGCCCCCACCCCACGCATCCTCTTGCGGAGTCCTAGAAATGCCGCGCCTGCACCGGCCCTGGGGGAGAGGGGGCCTGCGCGCGTAGGGCCCCCCCCACCCCCAGCGCACCCCCTGTGGGTCGAGGAAATGCAGCGCCTGCCCGCCCTGTGAGCCGAGCGCATGGTTGCCCCCCCACCCCCCCTGGCGCGCCCCCTGTAGGCGTCGTGCCAATGCCAGAACGCCTGCCACATTGCGAGAGCCTGCAGCGCACAGGGCCCCCACCCAACACCCCCCCCCCGTGGGCGTCGAGGAATGCCACCCTGCCACGCCTTGGGAAGCATGCACGCATGGGCCCCCCCCACCCCCGCCAGCACACGCCCTTTTGTGGCTCGAGGAAAATGCCACACGCCTGCCACTCCCTGGTGGGCCTGCAGCGCATTGGGCCCCCACCCCTAGCGCACCCCCTGTGGCGTTGAAGGGAATGCTACGCCTCTCGCGACCTGGGAGCCTGCAGGCGCATGCCCCCCACATACCACCCCCCCCCAAGAACACCCCCTGTGGCGTCGAGGAAATGCCATGCTTGCCACGCACTGGGATGGGAGCCAGCAGCGCATAAGGCCCCCACCCCCAGCGCGCCCCCTGTGGCGTCGAGGAAATGCCGCGCCCTCCGCGCCCTGGGAGCCTGCAGCGCATAGGGCCCCCACCCCCAGCGCACCCCATTGTGGCGTCGAGGAAATGCCGCGCCTGCCACGCCGTGGGAGCCTGCAGCGCATGGGGCCCCGCCCGGCGCCCGCCCATGTGGCGGTTCCGATGAAATGCCGCGCCTGCCGCGGCCCTGGGAGCATGCAGCCATAAGCCCCCTCCCCCACCACCCAGCGCCCCCCCTGCATTAAAAAATATGTTAACTAGAACCACGCGCGCGCTTCGCGCGCGCTTAGGTTCTAGCTAGGATCGTCACCGTCGTCAAGAACGCCAAATAGAGCCCCCAGACGGCCCCAAGAACGCCCAAGAGCGCCCCAAGAGGGGCCCAGGAGGCTATTTTAGGCGCTCTCGAGGGGCAACGCTAATTAAGGACCCCCCCTTTTTTGATCGATCTCCTCCAAGATGGCCCCAAGAGGCGCCCGGGAGGCCCCAAGAGGCGCCAAGATGGCCCCAAGACGGCCCCAAGAGGCCTCCAAGAGGCCCCCAAGAGGGCCCCAAGCGGCCCCAAAGGCTCCCCCGAGGCACTCAAGACGCCCAAGAGCCCCCCAAGACGGCCAAGATACCCCCCAGACGTCCCAAGGGCCGCCCAGACGACCCCAAGAGCCGTCCAAGAGGCTCCCAACAGACCCCCAAGAGGCCTCAAGAGCATCCCCGAGGCATCCATGAAACCCCCATAGACGCCCCAAGAGGCCTCCAAAACAATTCACTATTGTTGCCCGCGCTGCTTGACTATACGTCTTTGTTTTCCTCCCACTCTCCGTCAGTTCTCATGGGCATCGTTTTCTGGATGGGCTGGTGGGATGGCGAAGCGTCAACATGTGTTTTGCAGGGGGGTTTTGCAAGCGCATGTCGCGGCTGGTTTTCGTCCCGTATTGGAAGCGGAAGACGGCGACGCAAGCTCGCCCAGCTGCGGGGCGCGGGCGCGGAATTCGACGCCTGCATTCAACTGGGAAGCGGGGGCCAGAGTCGACGCGCGCGATTGCCGGCGAGGGCGGGGGGCTCGGCGCCTGGCGCCGCGCCGGGGGGGGGGCGGGGCGGAGTGGGTGCATGGGGTGCCTTCGCGTTCAGTGAGCTGTTCGTTGTGAGAGGGTACCCGCGGCCAGCGCAGTGGCCAATTGGAGGGGCGCGCTCGCGTCTCTTCCAGGCTCTTCCAAGGACGCGCGTGTCGCTGAAAAATACCCACTACACTCGGAGCGACGGCCCGAGAAAGCAATCGAAAGCACAGCTGCGCACCCCGTCACAGTCCTCAAGGGAGGGAGGAGATCAGAGAGTGCGTTGGGATGTTGGAATATGGAAGAGGCCCGGTGGCCGACCAGCAGGGAGATTGACAGCGCGCGAGAAGGCATGAACGGCAAGGGGCCAGGATATGGGGCGACGATGGAAGGATGTCCAAACGCGCAGAGGCGCGAGCAACAAGGAGGGCGGACGCGGGCGCTCCCCGCGGGGCGCGGCCGCGCGCGCTCGCGCGGATTGCGCAGACGCGCGCGCGGGCGACCCCCCGCGGTGCCACGAGGCAGCCGGAAATAAAACAATTCAGAGCGGAATGGCGCGAAGGGTTGAGCGCTGCCTCGCACAATAAATCAACTGGCACGGCGCGGCAGAGACATCGGCAGGCACAACAGTGATACGTCTACAGGCTGAGCATCGCACGGTCCTTCAACAGGTCACAACCACTGCGCGCTGCCGCCAAACAAGTATGAGCCATAAACAACTGCTGCCCAACGTCGCGGCCTTCCTTTCTGGCGCTGCATCTACTCTTCGGGTGCAATCACGCTGTTCCACCGCGCGCTGCGTGCGCGGGGCACCGAGAACTCTGCCCCGGTCTCCTTGCGCTTCCCGGCGCATGCGATCTCAACGTTGCCGGCGTAGAAAAAGCCATCTCCTCCCATGTTCCAGTCCGAAGCGTGCCCCGCCCACAAAGTCGCGCTCAGCGCATGGCCCGCCGCATCTTCCAGCGTCGCGTGGCGGCGCTGCTCGTTACCCGCAATGACGGGCCCGGTGCTCATGATGCGCACCCCGAGGTTGGCGAGCAGCGCCCCCCCGAAGTCCATGGCGATCCTGCTGATGGGAGTCGCGTCGGTAGCCCATGAAGGCTGACGAGGCCCCGCCGAAGGCCTGACGCACGTCACGCTGCACACGGGGAATTTGCCGCCGCTGGTGTCGAAGTTCCATGAGAAGCGGGGGCTCTCAGCTGCATCCTGCCATGCCCCGGGCCAGCTCGTCGTCGGAGCCGCGCGCGCGCGGCCTGCGCGCCTGACGCGCTGATGTGGGCATGATGAGCTTCACCTCCTCGCTGGTCGAACATATGTAGCGACTCGTCGTCCACATTCCACAGCGAGATGACGATGGACCCCTCGCCGCCGCCCGGCTCCTCGCAGACGACTTCTCCCCTGTGGCCCCCGTTCAGCCGCTG